CCTCCCCGCCCTGGCCGCCCTGCCCGCGGGCGAGACGCGGCGCCCCACGTGTCCGCGCGCCGCTCGGGGCTCCCTGCGGAGTCCCACGTCCAAGCCCTGGCCCCAAGGCGAAGACGCCAACTTGGCACCGGCCCCTTCTACGGATTCCTTGCCCAGGAAGGGAGGAGCGGGGTGCCCGGCCGGGCCTCGGTGTGTGCGGTCGTGGCGTGGAGAGGCCGCGGGAAGCCTTCCCAGATCTTGGGTCTTTGTGGGGGGGGGGGGGCGGAATTAAAGAACACTTCTGGAAACAATGCTCGTCGGGTCTGCTGCTGCCATGATACCCCTTGCTTTTTTCTTCCATTCTCCTCGCAAGAGCATTTTCTCTCCTTTATCATAAACTGATGTGATAAAAGTTTTAAAAAAATCATTGTAATTGACTTTCATGGTGAGATTTGTTCAAGTTTGGAAGCTTCGGCGAAAAATTATTCCCTTTTCGGTGTTCTTAGGGTTGTTGTCTTCTGACCCAGACTTTTGCCTGTTAAGAGGCAGTAATTTCAGATTTTTAGAAATGGCAGAATGGTGCCACTTAGGAAAAGACGTAGCGTCATTGGACTTTGCTGTTTTGGTAGCCCACCGGAATCGTTACAGACCGTCTTCCTTGAGATTTAAACTCCAAATAAGGACCTTATTTGCATACCCCTGGCTTTTCTATAGGTGCTCAGGAGGTGGGAAAATCGAGTGAGATTAACTGGTAATTAATTGTTCACTCGCGTGGTTAAGTAAGCAACAATGTAATTAAAAATGTTCGGGCACCTTGGGCAGAGACGACTGTAATTGACGGTGGGGAGCAACTGAACTTGGCGAGATCTGCTTTAGTGTAAGAAGGAATGTATTGCCAGGGGCAGCCCTGGGAGACGAGGAGGCTGGAGAGGTGGGAAATTGGCTAGGTGACTCCCGGCTGCATCAGTTGCCTTGCTGTCTGCAAGTTTTGCACTGTACCAAATGGGGTGGGTGGTAGCTGAAACTGGTATTCTATTTATAGCACTGCGTTTTATAATGCTGTACTGGGGATATAGTGTTTGTCGTATATTCAATATATGTGCTGAAATGCACATTTGTATTGTTATGTGTATCTATTTTTTACTGCACTTAAGGGGATATTTGCACTGTCCAGACTTGGTAATGCGTTAAAGGACATTCAGAATCAACTAAAATGTCAACACGTTTTTAGAGATGTCTATTAGCATTGTGAAGTTGTGGGATAAGCACAATAAATAAGCCATAAAACCTATTAAAAGGTCCCTTTGAGACAGTTGGCTTTGTGAACTGGCTTTCACGGATTGGTGCAGACAGGAAGCTGTTTTCTTCCAGGTCTGAAGTAAATCATGAGTTCATTTTGTTGAGCTCTGCTTTGATGTTATGGGGGAGCACCAAGATGTAAAAAGATGTGATACCCACTCTTTATATATCTTGAAATCGAGATTCCTGGAATCTTGCTGAAACAGAATATGATAGGAGTTCTGAGGCATGTGAACAATCCTGATAGTTTAAAAATACCTTAAATACTCCCTTATAAGGTTGGCCTGACTGTATGTAGTTTAGTTTTCCTACAAACTGTAGCATATTCTTTTGAGTTTTTAAGAAAAATCAATATAGAAAATTTATTTTAACCCCATATGATTATACAGACAAATTCACTGTAACTTCAATTCTAAAGTCTGGTGCCAGTTCTAGAATCAGATTTGTTCATGCCTCTAGGTCAGCCACTGTGTGGCTTCTCGTGGCTTTGAGCCTCAGTTTTGTCATATCAAATGGGAGGCATAGACTAGATAAAATACTAGAACTTTGCCATCTCTTACAGTTTTAATATCCTCATTCTATTGTAGCAGAGACTGCTCTCTGCCTACCCAATTACCCTTAGTTCCTTTTCCTGACTGAAAACCTCTTAGATAATCAAGAGTGTTATAAATGGAATTGTGTCCCCCAGATTCATATGTTGAAGCCTTAATGGCATGTGACTGTATTTGGAGATGGGGCCTTTAAGGCAGTAATTAAGGTTAAATAAGGTCATAAGAGTGAGGCCTTGACCCAGTGGGACTGGTGTCCTTACAAAAGAGGAGGAGACACCAGGGATGCATGCAAACAGAAAAGGCCATGTGAGGACACGGTGAGAAGATATCCATCTATAAGCCAAGGAGAGAGATCTCAGCAGAAACCAACCCTGCTGGCACCTTGATCTTGGACCTTCAGCCTCCAGAACTGTGAGAAATCAATTTCTGTTGCTTAAGCCATCCAGTTGAATGGTTTCTCTTATGGCAGCCCTAGCCCCCTAATAAAACAGGAGGTGAGGGGAAGGGTGGAGGAATGGTGATGGTGGTGGCAGTGTGTCCAGTGATAAAACATTTCTCAGTGGCTGTTGCAAATAGGTAGCCAGTGAGCTATTTATAAAGCTTTTTGGGTGGGTCTCTTGGTAAATCTTATTTTTTTTTATTTTATTATTTTTTTATTTTTTTAAATTTTTGGTTTATTGCAGTAACCTTGGTTTATAACGTTGTATAAATTTCAGGTGTACATCATTATACTTCTATTTCTGCATAGATTACAT